ATGATCTTATTTCCCACTGCTAGGACTATTCTTGAATTAGGTGTTTTGAGTTTACATGGCTTCAGTTAGCTGCTTCATGTCCCTTTTAGGTGTTTTGTAGTTTTACCAAAACTTACGTATTGGCTCTTGTTCAATTTCTGATTTCTGGTTTTAGCAAAATAGAGTTTGAAGCAAAACTGCAGGTTATGGGGAATGATTTAATTCAGCCCCGTCTGACCCCAGACTGCATTGGGTTTTTCCCTGTGCATTGGGTTTTAATAGGATTACTAAGCTGACACATTTATGGTTGCTTTCATTTGGGATCAAGCTTTTGAAATTAGAATGCAAGGAAGAGTTGAGGGTCTAAACTTCCTGAAATTACATTCCACGTGTTCTGTGTTCTGTGTTAAATGCATGTATGTGTATTTTTCTTCTGAAAAGAAGTGTAAGAACTGACACACAGGATACGTTTCTGTAATACTTAAGTGAACTCAGAAGTAAGAGCCCTACGTTGCAGGTAGGGGTTCTTCCTCCAGTCTGGGATGGCTCTGTTACATATTTAAAAACAAAAATGGAAATAATTTACAATCTGGTTATGAGCCACTCTTTGATTCCTTAGTTCCAACACCCTCGATGAGCTGCTTGTACTGACTATGTCTTTGTCAAGATCTGATGAGTTTGTCTCCCTGATTTTTATTTCTGACTCTGTCCCACCAGACCCTCTCGTGTCTTGTGCTCCCTGGTCTCCTCATCAGCCCCCCCGAGGTGTGGTTAGGGACTACTTCTGTCCAGCTTCTCTTGATCCAAACTTGATATTTGCTCGTTTTGTTTTGTTTTTTCTTTAGAACTTCTTGGCCTAAAAGCAGTCTGAAAGTAAATTATATACACTGTCATTTTCACCAGAAGGGCCAGCTTAAGATTTGGGTGTGTTACCTATTCTCTGCTGTGATTTTGAAGAGTAGAGGCAGTTTCAGAAATCATCCTCTGCTTTTCTCTAGATCTGGGGGACAGTTGATGTCTTCTTTCCTACCCCTTAGATGTAAGATGGTTCCTTATTATTTTTAATTGGAAAGATTGAAGGATATTAGACAATATCAGCAGTTCATTGTGTCTCTGGCATGAATTAAATGGACCAACCAGTATCCCAGAATATTTTTTAACTTGGCTAACTGTATTTTTCTCCCCCCTACTATATGAAAGTTGGACTTCACCCTTCTGATGTTAAAGATTGTTCAGAGACCAGATGGCCATAGCTCTTTTTCCTTTGGGATGTCCCACTGTAACATGGGGAGTCGTACCAACCTCCTAGGTAGTGGTGAATTTTAAAGAAGTTAATTTTGGTAAAGTCTCTAGCACAGTGCTTGGCACATAGTAGGGTGTGTTAATTTCTTTCCCTTCCCTGCAGGCCATTCACCTGCTCTTCCCTCTACGATTTTCCATAACACAGTTTTTACTTGGAACCAGCCTTCTGCCAAGAGTCTCAGTTTGGTTGTGTACTCCTACAACTACTATTTTTGGCTTGACTTCCCTCTCCAGCTCCCAGTGGTCCAGCCACACAGTCGCCTATTGTACCAGCTGGTTGATGTAAGTCTATCCATCCTCAGAGGAACCCGGTTACTTACCAGTAAGCTGTGTTTCTCTGAAAATGTAGCATCCTTGATAACTAATAGAGTTTTTTTTTTCCTTCTTTACCATTGATGATGAATCACCTCTAATAATGTCCTTGTGTGATCCTCAAGTAGGAACTAGAATTGGAGAATTCTGTTTGTCGATGGTAGGTCTCCTAGTGAGTTCCTGAGTCCAGGATGCTTGACTGTGATCAGGTCAAATGCTTTGGAGACCCAGGAGGTCGAAATCCTTTTCAGTACTTTGAGTGATATGAGACTTAATTGCATAAACTGTCAAGGATGATACATTTTCAAAGAAAAAAAGTTACTGGTAAGTAACTGGAATTTTTTGAGTTATTTTCCTGTTAAGTCAATAAATAAGAATTCCCAAACTTGTTTTACCAACAAATGCTTTTGCATTTGAATATTATTTCGTAAATGGAAAGGAATATGGTTATTAAGGTTTAATAGGTAAGGAATGGAATAGGTTTCTAGAGATGCTACATAGATAATGACATGGGTGTAGACCTTCAATTTTCTAAGTAGATGCCCTCATAGCTTTAAAGAGAAATTGGAGTGAAATCTCCATTAGGCAAAATCAGCAAATGCAGTCTGTTCATTCCAGAAACATTTTTTGAGTGCCTACTCTTTTTTGAGACACTGTGCTGAGTATCATTGCAAGACAGAAGTGAAACCACACCGTCTCAGCTGCTTTTTGCCCTCAGAGAGCTTCCTTCTGACCCCCTGGTGACTCTCATAGGACTCAGAATTGAGATGTTGGGGTCATGGGATGGCAGAGGTATGGGGTTGGAGGTAGTACTTTAGTGCTACAGCCTTTGCCACCTTATTTTTGTGCTTCTCGGAGCTCTCTCTATTTAAGGGAAAAACCAGCGGACCCCATTCAATAGATGCAGAGCATTGTCTGCAGCTTTAGAGCAAATAGAGGAAGCAGAGTCCCTCCTGTCTGGTAGTTGAGCAGCATACCATTAAACTGTCTCTAACCTTAAGTACGGCCTCAGGTTCAGATGTTAGGTAAAGCCAGGTGGGTAAGTCAGAGCTGGAGAGGCCACACGCTCTCCCTCACCCCTCAAGCTTTAAAGGAGGCTACTCTTCAGAATTAAAGTCACAGTATTAATTTACTTCCCCCCGAGTATAAAGCAAAACCCCAAACTCTAATTTTTTTTTGCTAAGACATTACAATTACTTGTACTTAACGTTCCCTGGACAGCATATATATAATACTTGATTCAGTAATTAGAACCCCTCATGGCCCCAGAGCCTACCCAGTTAGGCAGGGAGGAGGAGAGGCAACTTAGTAGTAACAGGAGTAAGAGAAGGGCCTGGGGGAGGGCATCTCGGCCCAGCAGCACCTCGCACATAGCTGTGCTCGTCCTTGGACCCTGGGAGGAGCCTCTCAAGGGCAGGAGTGGAGCACAGTGATGAGCACTTGGCTGTTGGGAGTCAGACTTAGGCTTCCGTCCTGGCTTGGGAAATTAACTACCTTTCTGACTAGGCAAGTTAGTTAGCTTCTGTGAGCCTCAGTCTCCTCCTCATTTGTGAGGTTGTGACACCAAAGGCTGAGAGGAGCAGTGGTTAAGGTATACAAAGCACTTAGCACAGTGCCTGCAACATAGTACGTGCTCAATAAATGTTAACTGCGATTATGACTGGATTATTGGACGGACGGATGGATGAAGAACCGTGTCAGAGACCAGAGTGCGGCACAGGGAGAGATTGTGGCTCTGGAGTAGCAGGGAACCGTTCACACCTCCTCATTGACTTGAGCTACGAGCTTTCTAGTATTATTATCTTTATCTTTGCCCTTTTGGAAAACAAATTAATGGATTAATCACTGTCACAGTTCTTTCTAACTACTCTTATCTTTAAACCTTCACTTCCACCAGGAAGGTGCTATTTTGTGCTGCAGTGACTGTGACCATTGCAAGATTGTCCCTCTGGCCTGATGAGATGCTAAGGGCCAGGTGTGGCCTGTAAGCCAAAGATTTTCACTGTTATTTCACCAAATCTAGGCCTGCTATTTTTCAGACCTCTCAAATAAAAATTTAACATATAATAATTATGCGTGTGTAGACATATGATTTTTTTGGTTTCATTTTACTCCTTCAATTCTTCTTTTTGCTCTATTTTCACTGATTGTAGATTATGAATATATGTCCAAGGGTATTTTTGAGAAGGTTCTTGGAAGCCTGCTAATTGGATATTGGATAATGGTACTCTTTAAGAAAAGCTGGATTCCTAGACAGGATAGAAAGTGCTATGGTCATCATTTGGGCACAGATTTTTACCGTATTTCATAGAATCAGAGATGCAAAATTTTGACGTTTTAACATCTGAAACTGGAATGCATCTTAGAATTACTGTGATAAGAAAGCTTTGTTACAGTTTAACTGGCAACATTATTTTCTTACTGATACAGAAAGTAATGGAATGCCTTGAAATTAATGTCATCATAGGTTGGATGAAATACGGTATTTCCAGAGAGGCTATGCACTTAAACATGATAGAGATACAGTATCGTGGCAGTATGTGTAGTGGGTAAGAGCAGAGGCTCCAGAGTCAGACTTTCTTTCTGGATTTAAATTCTAGCCCTGTCTAATGTATGGCTTTGGGCCATTTACTGACCTTTGTATTCACCAGAGTTTTCTCACCTGTAAAATGGGGGCTAAGAATTAGTCCCTATCTTACGGTGTTGTCATGAGGACAAAAATAAAAGACATGGAATGTGTTTAAAATAGTGCTTCGCACATAGAAAGTGCTTAATAATATTACCTATTATTATTATTATTATTATTATTATTACTAGTTTAGAGATTATACTTTTGTAGAATGGATAGCAATTTCTTTTGTTGTGATTGAAACTCAGATCTGTTATTACCCTTCATCTTTGTTTATCATCTGGTAATAGCAAATGATGCTTGGGTTTTTTAAAAAGGGAAGATAAAGATAAGAAAGGTGAACCTAATAGTTTCCATATTATTATTAGTTGAGATTTAAGAGGCATATTTGGTATATATAATATTATTCCAAGTGGTGGAGATGTAAAAGAAACTAAGCATCAAGCTAAGAAATTTATAGTGAAAGCAAGGAGCAGTTAACCTGAGGCTAGCAAATATCGTTTTTGATTCTGATCGATATTGGTAAGTATGGGAAGGGTCGTTGGAGGCTTTTTAAAAATTTGCAAAATCTGAAGCGTTTTTTTTTTTTTCCTTCACCCTAAGTAAAAGAAAGTGAGAAGGAGAGAGAATCCTTCATGGTTTTTAGAAACCTTTCTGTCTTAGGTAAAGGGATTTCCTTTTCAAAATTATTTAAGTGGGCTGAGTTCCTTTATAATATGTCTACCACTTGAGGTTGTCCTTTTATTCTTATGAGTCAATTTTATTTTTTCTGTTCTAGTGTTCAGTGACCAGTGACTTGGATTTTCCAACACAAGTCATCCCATTAAAGACTCTGAATGCGGTTGCTTCAGTACCCATAATGTATTCTTGGTCTCCCCTTCAGCAGAATTTTATGGTATGTACATCTGTGATCTGCTTACTTTATTATCACTTATTTTAAATAAAACACACTTTTCTTGTGAATCAAGAACAAGTAAAAAAAAAAAGTTACTGAAATGATAACACTCAGTGATTGTTTTTTTTAACTGATACATATATTTGAACAAGCCTTTGTGGTGTTGCTCTTTTTCTAGTCTTTCCAAGTTAAAATATTCTCCAAAGAAAAAGTGTTGAGCAGGAATTCTACCTGGGATTTGATTTATTTTATTTTATTTTATTTTATTATTTTATTTTACTTTTATTTTTATTTTTATTTATTTTATTTTTATTTATTTATTTTTATTTATTTATGTATGATAGTCACAGAGAGAGAGAGAGAGAGAGAGAGAGAGAGAGAGAGAGAGAGAGAGAGAGGCAGAGACACAGGCAGAGGGAGAAGCAGGCTCCATGCACCAGGAGCCCGATGTGGGACTCGATCCCGGGTCTCCAGGATCGTGCCCTGGGCCAAAGGCAGGCGCTAAACCGCTGTGCCACCCAGGGATCCCCTCTACCTGGGATTAAAAATATGTTTATTTTTTAAAAAATTTTTAAAAGATTTTATTTATTTATTCATGAGAGACAGAGAGAGAGAATGAGAGAGAGGCAGAGACACAGGCAGAGGGAGAAGCAGGCTCCATGAAGGGAGCCTGATGTGGGACTCGATCCTTGGTTTTCAGGATCACGCCCTGGGCTGAAGGCGGCGCTAAACCGCTGAGCCACTGGGTCTACCCTAAATAGTTGTTTCTAATGTCTTTAGTAACTGAAAGATTTTACAGTGAGTGATTAAAGATAAACTTCAAATACTCTTCTGTAATTGCCTCATGTGTTTAAGGCTTCATGCAAAAAACATTTAGTTTAAGAATTGCAAGAATTTTTGGGAGATTTCATACTTTCATAGACTACAATTCTGAAAGGATCTAGTGTTTAAAATTGTCATTATTATTAGAATTATCCATAGGTTTTGTTGGTCACTGACCAAGGCACATTAGGCAGACTATATTATGGTTCGGATATGTTTTGGGGGGGGAGCAGAGCTTACATGGATACAGTTGGGAAGACAAATAGCCAATTATAACTTAATTTTGGCTTTTATCCAAAAAAATTAACACTTCTAGTTTAAATGGGATTAGTGAAAGTGAGATGTGGCGCAAACTGGACTCTTTAGTTGTATGTAAGTTTGACTCTAGATAGATCAGTGCATTAAAATCTAAATCTTAATTTTATATCCCTTATGTACTTTCTCCCCCAACTTCCCTTTCCCCTGTTTGTCTAAGATTCTGTTGTCTTTCTGAACTTTGCAGTTGTCCTAAATTTGTCATCTGGGGATTAGTTGAGATTTTCCTGTTCTCGTTTTTCCTGCCTGCTGCTGCAGGACAGTCCCTGGTGTGTCATTGGCCTTTTCCTGGTGTATTCTTCATTTTGATTGTGCTCTGTGCCTGAGGCACCTGCCGGAGGCACCTCCACAGCCACACCTGTCATGGCCTCCTGTCCTCTTATCCAGTCCACTCTGTTAATCAGATTATTCTCCGAAATTCTGTTTTTAACCAATACCCTGTTTACAGGCTTCTTAAGATACACCTATCCTCACTTTAGTCTCTTTAAATATGGACTTCAGAACCCTCTAGTCTTTTATCTGTCATTACTGTCTTTTTTATTCTTTATTGAAGATTCTTTTCCTACCAAGCATGTCTGCTTCCGGTCTCTTGTGTTTTTTTTTTTTTTTTTTTTAGATTTATATTTATTAGAGAGAGAGAGAGCCCCCTTCAATGGGAGGAGGGAGGGGCAGAAGAAGGAGGAGAGAGAGGGAGAGGGGGAGAAGCAGAAGCAGGCTCCCCATGGTGGGGCTTGATCCCAGCATCCTGGGATCAGAGCTGAAGGCAGATGCTTAACCCACTGAGCCAGGTATCCCCAGTCCCTTGTGTTCTTAAGTTCTCCCTTCTCCTGAACTTTTTGTGGATGGGTTCTTCCCGGCTAAGTTAGCATCTTCTTTTTTCTCTGTTGTCTTCTAAACCTTCGTAAACTCATCTGTCGTCTTGATTGGAATGATAATTTTGATAGGCATCTTGTTCTTTTCATCATTGAAATATTGTATTTTTTTTAAAAGATTTTATTTATTTATTCATGAAAGACACACACAGGCAGAGACACAGGCAGAGGGAGAAGCAGGCTCCATGCAGGGAGCCTGACGTGGGACTCAATCCTGGGACTCCAGGATCACGCCCTGGGCCAAAGGCAGGGGGGGCCAAACCGCTGAGCCACCCAGGGATCCCCCATGTATGTTCTTATTTTATATATAAGAGCAGATCCTTTTGGCATAAACTTTTTACTTTTTTTTTTTTTTTAAAGATTTTATTTATTCATGAGAAACAGAGAGGCAGGCAGAGACACAGGCAGAGGGAGAAGCAGGCTCCATGCAGGGATCCCAATGTGGGACTCGATCCCGGGTCTCCAGGATGACACCCTGGGCTGAAGGCGGTACTAAACCGCTGAGCCACCCTGGCTGCCCGACACTTGATTTTATATCCCTAGATTTTTATTATTTTGAAGGTCTCTGAATAACTAGATCATCAAGTGAAGTTTAGAAAATCCTTACTTATGTTATCTTACTGTGTACAGCTCTTTATAAGTGGCTTTGGTAAAACCACATTTCATCAATTCTAAGACACGGGGTGTATCTTAAAATTGATGAGTCATATCTTAAAGCACAGCATTTTTCCTTGAGGTAAATGAAATGTTGGTAAGTTTTAATGATTGACATGTTAGATTAGGTGAAGAGGGTGTTTTTTTAAAAAATGTTTTCTCTTAACAGTTTGATTTCTGAGATAATTCTTATTGGTAGGAGGGGGTCTTTATGTTTTAGAGTTTCCTGTCTAAATCTGGAGAACTGAGTAGAGACATCTACTTAGGAAAAAAATGTATTTTACATTACATGAAATTGATTTAAAAAATATTTTGATACTTCAGATTAACTTGCTTTTAAAATATGTTTATGTTTTAGGTGGAAGATGAAACTGTTTTACATAACATTCCGTATATGGGGGATGAAGTTTTAGATCAGGATGGGACTTTCATTGAAGAACTAATAAAAAATTATGATGGAAAAGTACATGGGGATAGAGGTGAGCCCTGTGTTTATTCTCTTCAAAAAAGGGGCCAGAGAATTGAAAGATATTTTGAATTTTTTAAGCATACGTACTAAAAACACATTTTTTTTAATATTAAAAGCAAGTTTATTGCTGGAGTGGCCAGGGCCTGTTTTCAGTCCTAAACATTTTAATGTTTTCTCTATTTTTAAATTGAAGAATCTTTTTTGATACTTAAAAGATGCGCAGTTGGTTATCACATAAATTATAATGCCAGTAACATGTAAATAGAGTTGTTTGAGTGTATGTAGATTTTAAGATTCCTTCATAGTAAAATTAGGATCAGGGCTCTGCTTATGTGATACATGTGCTACAGAAGGCCCTGTGCTCAGAAATATGTCCCACTTAGCTGCTGCAGGACCTGCACTTCCGTCTCTGTGGTCACAGCTGCTGTGCTTCACGTCCAGGAGACCCGTCAGAGTGTCTGGCAGGAGGGGAGCATGTGTAACATCATCATCACTGTCCCTTTCTTGGGGAGATGGCGTCTTCACATGCATTGTTGGAAGGAGGCTGAGGCCACAATTTCTAGAGTATATGGGTATAGCAGCGGGTATTGGGGGAAGGTGTGAGCAAAGAGAAAATGACCGATTTTGAAGAGAAATTCCTCCTAACTTTGCCTCTGGCCGGTCTTGAAAATGATCCTCCTGCCTCATTTTAACTACAGTGTTCTAGTGTTAATTAATAGGCCCTGGCTCTTCTTCCAGATTAGAAAAGGCATACATAAAGTTTTATCATTACTACTTCCCTCTGTGTATTTCTGATATTTGACTTGATGAATTTCAGAATGTGGGTTTATAAATGATGAAATTTTTGTGGAGTTGGTGAATGCTCTTGGTCAATACAATGATGATGATGATGATGATGATGGAGATGATCCTGATGAAAGAGAAGAAAAACAGAAAGATCTAGAGGAGAACAGAGATGGTATGTCTGTTTATTAGGTTTGTGTGTAGCCATGACAGCATTTCTCAAAAACAAAAAATCACAAATTGTTATTAATTCCTTCTTTCTCTTTTTCTTTTTTCTTTTCTGAAATATCCTATCAATATGTAATAGAATCAAAATGTAACATATCCTGTATTTGGGTGTCTTTATTTCCTTTGGCTGACGAAAAGAATGTTACTCTGTTTTTGGGATTTTGCTGGGTAATCATCATAATCATCATTATGACATAACATATTGATCATTGACTACCTTGATCATTGATTACCTACAGGCAGTGAGTGTGCCAGTCACTTTATGTGCTGCACCAGCTCATTTACTCCTCGTAATGCCCCACAGTATGGCTGTTGTCATCATCTCTCTCTTATGGTTGAAGCGATGGGCTCAGTGCAGTTAAGTAACTTATTTAATTTAATATTACTGGGAAGAAACAGCCCAGAACATTCTGACGGTAACTCCTCCAACTGACCGGAGAGCCCAGGCTTTTAACCCCTATGCTAGTGATGGCTTATCAGAAAGCTAGAGGACCCCAGACCAGAGCCCATAGTCGGAGACAGGCAGAGTTCATTGTTAAATAGCATAGAAAAATGCGGGGGGAAAACTGCAATCTGAGAGAAGCACAATGTTGATGTAACAGGCAGTGATCACGTGTTCCTTTCCTTCATTTTACACTGAAGAAACTGACCCCCGTGGGTAGTGGCCAGGCAAGGTCACAGACCCAGTCAGTGGCCCAGCCGGGATTAGAACCTGGGTCTCTTGCCTTCCGGTGCACCAAAAACTTTCTGTATTCGATTTTGAGTTTTTTGTTTGGCCACCCGCACTCCGTGGATACATGTAACATAGTCAGAAGTAAGTGAAACATGGAGATGATAGTTTCTTAGGAAATCCACTTTGTTAGATGTGGTTGCATGGAGAAGGAAGGTTTGAAAACTTGTTTGCTTTCATCTTTTTTCCCTTTCATATTTCCCCATTTAGATAAAGAAAGCCGCCCACCTCGGAAATTTCCTTCTGATAAAATTTTTGAAGCCATTTCCTCAATGTTTCCAGATAAGGGCACAGCAGAAGAACTAAAGGAAAAGTAAGAGTTGTTCTTTTGAGGCAGTCTTGCCTTGTATGGTATGTTAGCTCAGCATTGCGGTTGACGAGAAACGGAACCAATGTAGCCGGTGAGCCCCTGGGCTTCCTTGGTTGACAGCGCCACGGGGTTCTCGAAGCTGTGTGTGGTGCTCTGCTGCAGGACACTTACTGTAGGGAGAGCAAGCACACAACTTCGTTGACCGTAGTACGCGGAGAGGAGAATTTGGACACTTGTAGAAACGTTAGTGTCATTGAAATTTATTTTGATTCATATGGTGACACTTTCCACGATCTGCATCCTTTCTGTGAACTTGTCTCTTGATACGCCATATGCATAATTTTAATTGGCTCTTCATCTCCATCAAGATCGTTGAAGGTTAGACCTTTACTAGTGTGTTGTGGGCAAGGCGAACATCCCAGATAATACATGGCACCTTTGAGAAACTGTATTTTCAGAGAAGCAGGTTTTGCTGCAGCTTCACTTGCGTTTTTCTTGGTCAATGTCAGGTATAAAGAGCTCACCGAGCAGCAGCTCCCAGGTGCGCTTCCTCCTGAATGTACCCCGAACATCGATGGACCAAATGCTAAATCTGTTCAGAGGGAGCAAAGCTTGCATTCATTTCATACGCTTTTCTGTAGGCGATGTTTTAAATATGACTGCTTCCTACATCGTAAGTGCAGTTATTGTACGTTTTCTTTTTCTATCTTTGTTGTGGAATTATGTCTTAAAGCAACTTGGAGAGTCCTGTCATTTGTTATAACTAGAATTTATCATTTAATCTGGCAGTTATGATTGAAAAGTATGTTAGTGTCAGAGTATTGTTCTTACGTACTTTGTTGCCTGAGGGTTGCTGTGAAGTTCTTCTACATGTATTTAATTTGGACCGCCTGTCGCCCGCTAATTTGGAATACAGGTCAGTGGTTTTTCCATAAATGCTAACCAAGCAGTTGTTTTGTAATAAAGCTATTACTGTGAACTCGCTGATAGCCTAGAGCAACACTGCGACATTGATGAACATATTTGTTGACTAAGAAATCGGCTGAAAAGATGCTTATATATGTTCTTGTCTATTTAGTATTCTTTTTTTTTTTTGGGGGGGGGGTGTCCTCTGAGAAAGTTACTTTAAAAAATATCTGTATTTGGGGGCGCCTGGGTGGCTCAGTCGGTTAAGCGTCTGGCTCTTTATGTTTGGCTCAGGTCATGGTCTCAGGTTCCTGGGATTGAGCGCACATCTGGCTGTGCACTCAGCGGAGAGTCTGCTGGAGAGTCTCTCCCTCTGTCTGTGACCCATCCGCCCCCCTTGCCCTCCCTCCCTGTGCGCACGCACTCTCACTCTGGCTCTCTCTCAAAAAAAAAAAAAATCTGCATTTGAATATAGGGAAAGCATAAAATGTTGTAAATGAAATTTAAGTCTGTCACATAACAATGTTACTTTGCTTTTCTGACATTGCTGGGGAATGAGATTTCTTAGGTTTCTTAGGACATTTTTTCCAGGTAATGGGAATTTTTTAAGCACAGTTTAAAAAGCACCAACTTTTTTTGAGGTGCTTGTTTTGAAAACATACTTGATATCTCTTTGGTTTCCTAAGCAGAGTTTGCTTTAATAAAGGTTAGCTTTTTCCAGAATACATTTTAGTGCAACCATCTATGGCCAGACCTATGTAAAGTTGGCTACGCTATACTGAGTGGCCCTTAGCAGTGCTTTGCCCTTTTGAGTTCCTATGGCTGGCTTTTACAGAAAATTCTGTATTTCTGTATTTCTGAATTTTCTCCCTCGTTATCCAGTGGTACCTCTTAATATTCATTAGCCTGCCCAAGCAGACAACGTCTTGTGAGTTTTGCACTATCACCTTATATTTGCTGTATCTCATACTTTGTTATGTGATATGTATCATGTATCATGACCTGGAAATGGTTTAAGAGAGAGAGAGAGAGTGTGTAGTATTAGTGGTGTAGTTAACCTTCAATTAGAAAAATTTCAAGTAGATTTTTAGAATTATTATATTTCCCATGTCCTTGCTATGTGGTTAAACCTAGTACCTTCCTAGTCTTGATGATTTGGTAGTTTTAATAATCTCTGGTATGCCAGCCATTGGACAAATACGAAGCGTCAGTATTGTCTTCATACAGCCCTTGAAATAGTTGCCTTGAATTGCATTTAATTTGCCTTTAACACAGTCGTTTTATAAACTATGCTCAATTTTTATTAAAAATAATATAAACTGCATTCAGTTACCACCATCACAAAAAAGTTGGGTGGAACCTCTGCTTGAAGTCGTGAAATGGTTCCTCCAATTTGTTGATAGATGTAACATTTCTTGTACCTTTCTGTACAGACAAAGGAAGTAGGATACTACTTTTGAACATTTATTATAAAAGTTACTTCATTGTGGTCTTCAGATTTGAGTATTTATCTCCTTATGCAGGCTGGGGAGATAGAAGATAGATTATTAGTTCACTTTAGTGAAGTTTGCTTCTGTGGAATGGCAGACTGTTCATTTGGAGCACTCGGGAGCAGTGGGGTCTCTTCATAATTTAGCCTTAATGATTCCACAGTACTCATTGCATTGCATTATCCTTGACAAAATATCCCACAACGTAGGTTTTTCCTCAGTAAAATGAGTCAGTAAATACATTATTAAACACATGTTATTCTCCCTCTGCCTATGTCTCTGCCTTGTCTCTGCCTCTCTCTCTCTCTCTCTGTATGACTATCATAAATAAATAATAAAAAAAAATTTAAAAGGGGGGGAAATCCCTGGGTGGCGCAGCGGTTTGGCGCCTGCCTTTGGCCCAGGGCGCGATCCTGGAGACCCGGGATCGAATCCCACGTCGGGCTCCTGGTGCATGGAGCCTGCTTCTCCCTCTGCCTATGTCTCTGCCTTGTCTCTGCCTCTCTCTCTCTCTCTCTCTCTCTCTCTCTCTATGACTATCATAAATAAAAAAAAATATGTTAAATACAGCATTTTGTGCTTTAATTTTGGTTTTGTCTATGTCAGAGGAGAATAATACAGTAGGTCATAAGCTGTTGGTTGTGGGGATTAAATTTAGTACTCTGTGTAAAATACTTAAAACAGTATCTGGCTTGTTTTTAGTTAACACTGTTTAAACAATAACAACAAAAAACAAAAACACTGTTTAAACAGAACATCAGTCACATGATACACGTTTCAGAAATGTATTAAAAGGTGTCCAGTGCCCTGTCCCTGCCACTCCCTGCCACTTCTGCCCCCATCCTTAAACCACTAATGTCAGTTCCTCTGTGTTTCTATAGTTTTTTTTCTGGCAAAATGCAAAGATAGTCTTCTTTTTCTGACTATCCTATTAAAAAGGTGCCATGCTATTCAGGCTTTTCCCTGTTTTGACTTAATCTTGGTAGGTCTTATTCCTCTCCGGAGAGCTGCGTTGTCTTCCACTGTAGGAGGTGGGAGGACTTACTGAACTGATTGCTGAGGGGCGGCCAGCATTGGGATGGTTTTGTGCCTCTTGCTGTAATAGCGCTGCAGTGAATGACCATGACCATGGCTGTTCCTGTGTAGCACTTCCCACGAGCGCAGGTTAACCCAGGCCCCTGTGTTTGGATAGGCTTCGTTCTTTTGCATCTAATTTTGGGTGACTGGAGTTTTATTCTTACAGAATTTTGGATCCACTCCTCCTCCCCACCTCCAAGGCTACCAAGCTGTTTCCATACCACTTACCAAAAAATTCCCCTTTCACTGCGACGCCATGCCGTCTTCATCACCCATCACCATGTTTGCTTGGGTCTTTTTTCTTTGCATTTGTTCCTTGGGTCTTTCTGTCTAGGAGGCTTTATTCATTGATCTCCTGGGCATTCTTGCTTGTTTTTTCATGTAAATTTTAGAATCTTTAGTTGATCTAATTAAAAAAAAGTTCAGGTAGTATGTTTATTGGAACCTCATTCGATTTATTAATTACCTAAGGGGAAACTGACATTTTAAAATGAGGATTAAGGGGGCACTTCAGTTAAGTGTTTAAATGTAGCCATATGACCAAGTTTCATTTTGTGTCATTTACTAACCTCAGATTTTCTTCATGTAGCTCTTGTGTGTTCTTTCTTAAGATGATCTCTAGCTATTAATAGGTTGTTGCTGGCTTTTTCTCATTGAATTTTATATATTTTATACCTTGATACCATACTCAGTTGTCTTTGTTTATGATAGTTTCTCAGTGGATTCTTACTTGAGTTTTCCAGCTATGTAAGTAAACTATATACACAGTTACTGATAGGTTCTGCTTCCAGTCATTAGGACTTTATCTTCTTGTCTCATCACATTGGCTTGCATCTTCAGTGCAGCGTTAAATAATATTGGTACTAGTAGATAGATTTTCTATTGCTTCTGGATCACTTTTGGGAATTACCGGTTTCACCCAGGTTTTGAAATTTATTTGTTTAAAGTTGATCTAAGTGTTCTAATGATTCTTTTCTTGCTCAGATGTTTTTTTCTCTCGTTTTTCTTGATAAGCTTAAGTGGTTTTTATATTTTATTTTTAAAATCTGCTTGTGTGTACTTTTCTGAGCTACTGTATTAGTTTTACTATTTTTCTCTTTATGAATGTGATTTTTGCATTGTTCTCATTCTTCCCTCTGTTTTTTGGATATATGTGGTTAACACGTGGTGAATTGTCTCTAGAGGACTGTTCCAACCTCTTAGGTTCTGATATTTGGTATTATTTTTAAGGAATGTTTTGTGTTTTTAACTCCTTGTTTGAGAGAATTTGTTAAACTTATAGGTGAAAGAGCCTTTTTGGATGTTATGTATTTTTATTATTTCTGTGTGATAATTAGTTATGTAAGTGTTAGGACTGTCTACCATTTTTATCTGTAAGGAATATGTTTTGATAGTAGGGGTTTGGCAGTTCATCTGAGCCAGCAGCTCAGTATATGACCTTGGATCTTTTCTGTTAGAGGGACTTGTGTATTCTAATGAACCTTGAAGGATAAATGGTTTTGGTTTGGGAATGAATCCCACTTTGTATTCCAAATAACTTTTAGACCATGATCATTTTGTAAATTGGAATCAGGCTGTTCTGCAAATTTGGAATCGTGTAATTTCTTTATAAAAAGCCTCAGCCTAAAATTGGCTGCTTGGTATGTCTTTTGACACTTGTTAGAGGAACCAGGGGTCAGCTCCTCAGTTGACTGTGGGTGGGTTTGGAGAAGTAACACCTTTCTGATCCAAGGAGGGAAGGAAGGCAGGCTGGGAAATTAAAGTTGGGAAATTTTATGTGCTTAAATAGGATAAAAAAAATAGAGCCTTAGAATAAATGTTTTGCTCGATTTTCTGTCACGTGCATGGCCTACAGAAGAATCCATTTTAAGCATAAAACCCAACTCTGTCATTTCTGATATTATATAAAAAGTCTGTTTATCCTTTTTGGAATGTGTATTAATGCGTGTTGTAGAGTTCTTAACATTATAATGGTTAGAATTTCAGAAACAGTATTCCAAAGTTTGTAGTTAATGGTTCACTTTTTTAGTATTTCAGATGTGTAATGATTAAAATTCGATATACTGAATTCATGTTTACCATGTAATTAGAGGGACTTACCTCCCTCAATCTCAGTTTTTCTTGTCTGTAAAATGGGGATGAGGGTTAACACCTAATCTCTGGGGGATTTTGTGGACATTAAATGAGGTAATGCATAAGCCTCTTAGTGTGTGCTTGGAACACAGGAGGTTTACTGTTAGCTGCAGCAACTGCCTGTTATTACTACTCTGTGCTCTGAATATTGACACTTTCTCTAAGGTACTTAGCATTAGAAGTCTGAAATGTGTGATATACGCAAGAATTTATGTGATTCCAAGTATAAGTATATTCAGTAAGAAGTTTTTTTTTTTTTTAAAGATTTATTTGAGAGAGAGAATGAGGGATGCACATTTGTGGGGAGAGGGGCAGGGGAGAGAATTCTCAAGCAGGCTTCCTGCTAAACTCAATCCCACATCCCTGAGATCATGACCAGAGCCAAAACCAAGAGTCGGACACTCAACCAACTGAGCCACCCAGGCGCCCTTCAGTAAGAATTATTATTAATACCAACCTCCTCCCCCCCTTTTAAAGATTTTACTTATTTATTCACGGAAGAGACACAGGCAGAGGGAGAAGCAGGCTCCATGCAGGGAGCCTGACGTGGGACTCGATCCCGGGTCTCCAGGATCACGCCCTGGGCCAAAGGCGGAGCCAAACCGCTGGGCCACTGGGGCTGCCCTTAATACCAATTTCTAATCTGAGCAAACAGGATCAGTACTTTGAGCAGAAGTTAATGTATAAAACTGACACTTTGTATTGATCTGTGTTCATTAATTTTGTCATTTATTATATGACAATGAGCTGAAGAAGTATTTAAGAGAAGTGTTGCATTACAGAGAGGGGAGGTGGCTCTTCCTCCTTGGGACAAGCCTTGGCACACCTGCTGCCAGCTAACTACCTACACAAATGATTCTGTTTAGTCCTGTTTTCTATTTTGTAAAGTCACCACTGGAACTAGGTGATTGCTGAGGTTTGTTCTCTGTAATTCTCTGGTTCCCCAGTTCTGTGCTTGAGGCATCATTATTTTGGTGAAACATTAAAAGATTCTGGGGGTCTACTTGATATTTTTAGCCATTTATGCCAGTTTGCTCACAGGGATATAGGGAATGGCTGGAACTGTGTATTATAACAGGGTTTTTTACCTTTGCCTGAAAACCTTTTAGATGAGATTTTTCATCAAGATTTTATATGTTGCCTTTTGAAATTAAAATAGAACAAAACAAAACCTATCAACATTCCATGTTCTCTTTTTTGTAAATTTTTTTAAAAAGCACCTTGCTTAAATTTTCTTAATAATAATTTTCTTGTGACTATCATAAATAAATAATCTAAAAAATAAAATAAATTAAAAAAATAATTTTCTTGATCAGATAATATAATTTTTCCCCTCATTAAGCTTAAAAATATTTTTGTAACTTATTTGAAGTATTAGTATTTCATGGTGAAAATATTAAGTATTCTGAAAATCTCAAATAGTCAAAGACATTTCTCAAAGAGGGTTTCTTAAATAATTGAAGTTTGAAATTCTGCTGAGAAAGTCTAGTAGTGCAAATAGTTTCTCTTGAGCTAAATGCAATGTGAAATTAAGAATAGTACTTAAAAAAATTTTTGCCTTTGGTGATCATCAAAGTATCTTTGATTATTATTAGCGTGTTAATTCTTCCTTTAGAGCCAGAACTTGGCTTGTTGAGTGTTCTGTGTTCTGTTACTTTGTACTTTGCTCTTCTGTATCTCCCAGCTCAGGACCAGCAAGGGGCTACTGTCCTCACCTGTGTTTGTGTGCCTATAGATACATACGTGCCTTTGTATTATTCACTGAATCAGGTGAAATCGAGAACGTCAGCCTATATAAATAGGGGAACATCCACACTAAAAATGAATTTTGCCAAATTGATATCACTTAGTATGTGCTGCTAACCGGCTGAGAACGAACTTGTTTTTTGGATTGATGGAATTCCTTGCTGCTGATGTGACCATAACCTTTTCCGCGCTCAGACTTTGTATTTTAGAGGTCCTCACGTGTTCAGAAACGTAATCCATTGTGAAATCAGTCGTGGCATCAGTCTCTCATTCCAGGGAAATCTAATACATACTTGAAACAAAATTTGAACCTTGAATTTCTACTTCAGAGACATAGCTTTGTCTTTTTTTCCTTATTTCCCTCATCAGTCTGTATTTCTCATTTAAATTACAGGCTTTTTTTTTTTTTTTTAAAGATTTTTTTGGGGGCTGGGAGAGAGCATGTGCTTGAGTTGGAGGAGGGGCAGAGGCAGGGGAGAGAATCTCAAATAGACTCTGCGCTGAGCACGGAGCCCATGACTCACCAGATCAGGACCTGAGCTGAAATCACAAGTTAGGTGCTTAACCGACTGAACCACCCGGGTGTTGCTGCAGAGGTTTTTAAAATGGTTTCGTGAATATGTCACCTGTTTTTATCTAAATTAAGACATTTTCATCTTGTGTAATTCTGAGCAGGGCATTTCTAGTGTTTGCCTTGGTAGCTGGAAGCAGACTTTCTCGAGGGTTTCTGCAAGTTCTCACCTCTGTGCATTCACACTTAGTTCACCCGTGTACTAGAATTTGAATCTTTTTGTTGCCACATTATTTGGGGATTTTAAGTTTCAGAGACTTTTCTTTCTAGAACCTGTTTTTATGTGACCACGTGTTTTCTAGAGAAGGGTAGTGACCGCAAGCTCTCACTAGATTCTTGAATTGTGTCTGATTTGGAGAAATGGAATTTCAGTAGTCTGAGGCTGTCCTCTTTATTTATTTAAAAGTTTTATCTATTTAGTCTCCACACCATGAACTCATGACCCTGAGTTCAAGAGCTGCATGCTCTTCCCACTGAGTCAGCCAGATGCGCCCTTGTCCTCTTTATTTTTACCGATTTATTTTAGAGAGACTGTGCAAGTGGAGTGGGAGAGGGAGAGGGAGACGGAGAGAAGCAGACTCCCCGCTGAGTGTGGAGCCTGACGCCGGGCTCCATCCCATGACCCCGAGATTATGACCTGAGCCAAAATCAAGAGTCAGCTGCTTAGACTGAGCTGCCCAGGCGCACCCTGTCCTCTTTACTTTTAAAAACTAGTTTTTAACAAGTGCTGTCCTTTATTTCTCCATTTTGACAAGCTGATTACTAACCTTTCTTTAGAAATCAAGAAACTGTAGATATCCGAATTCTTCTGGTAAAAATAGGAAATCTGATTTCCTTGTAGAGGGGATATATCAGTTGTTTCTATGGATATATTAAAGACTAAATAAATGTCTAAAAAGATTTCTTTTAATGTTCGTAATCAGAGTTTAGAGTTATGTGCATCAGTTATGCTTGTAAGGGGAAAAATGGGCAATGACTAATTATTCCAGAGTTTACTGTTTCCTCCCTGGTTAGGGGCTGATGGGGAGGGAGTGGCAGTGTTCCACTGAGTCTAGGGAGAACATGGAGATGATTCAGTGAGAGCTTTGAAGGAAGGTTCTGTTATGGAAACAATATATTGGCAAGTTTCTAATGTATTAATAGGCTTTTTCCACTGAAACTGTGGAGATGAAAAAGTAAATATAATTATACATGGATGTTTTCTGTTTATTTTGCAGCATTTCATGCAACACCCAATACTTACAAGCGGAAGAACACAGAAACAGCTCTAGACAACAAACCTTGTGGACCACAGTGTTACCAGCACTTGGTAAGCTCGGGTGCTGCGTGATCCAGAGGGCATTTGAGGAGTTTTGTGGTGAACTGTGGCGAGGTCCATGAAGGCAGCGTTGGCACTGTTTGTTGCTCCTGTGCCTCGGCCATACTCTAGGCAGAGATCCTCACCCGGGCGGTCTCCTTCCTAGCTGCTGTGTACTGCACATTGCAGGCCTCCATTAATCCCGTATCCTTTGTCTGTCTGTGTTAGTCTGTTCCGCAACCTTTCAGGGCCTTGAGGATCAAGGACTCTTACACCTGCCACCAAGTCTGTGAGAGTGAGAAGCACAGGTAGTCAGTCACTCAGGCCCCAGAAGCTCGGTAATTAATTGTAGGCAGTACTTCCTGAGCCTTCCTCAGAGCCTGGCCCCTCTCGAGAGCTAGACCTATGGTAGTTTGAGTCAGCTAGTAGGTCCCACAGATTTTTTTTTTTTTTTAAATGATGGAGAAAAGGTAAGGGTTTAGGAGAATAGGAGGTAGAAAAGTTGTTTTTTACAGGTACTATCTTATTTTTACCCTTTCCCCTCTTTGGACCAAGCCACTCCTACCTAGGAACTAAATGGGTATATATTGCCTGTTGGATTTTGGACAGAAGATTCATTGAATGGCACCTGCAGAAGGTATCCTATTTTTAAGCAATTTGGTTTCTGTAGAATGAAGTGTAAAACTGTTGGCTGCTCTCAAACTTCTCCCTTCTCCTGCCACTGAACCTGGAATTCTTGAGCACTGTTTTATAATACTCTCTACAAGGCAGAATTTTATTTGGCTCGTCTAAGAGGTTTCTGTGGTCTCCCTATAATCCACGATCTTGCTGTTGTTCATACTCTGTAAGACTGGATTATCGGATGTGCTGATGCAGAATGTCCTGCTCACAGCCTCCCTCTGCAAGCTCCTTTCACGACTTCTGGGGGCTGTGCATCCGTCACGGGGCAAAAATTGGATGTTTGAATAAACAGTAGACAGGAAGCGACAAGTCTGGCATGCTTCTGTGTTCTGTATTCTGCTTGTGTACTTTCAATATTATCAGAGAGCGGTATCTTAAGAAAACCTAAAATCGGAGAGTCTGACTCTGGATGCACATTAGCTATGATTCTTCTCATAAAAGTTCATGTTTAAAGAGGCTTACATATTTTTAAATATTTTATTACATTTTAACTTTTAATCAGTTAGTGTGGCTCACCAAGTTCACATGGAGTCATCTTGCCTGATGTCATACTCCCGTAGCGCAGAGAATCTACATTGACCTTTCTGAAAGTTCCAAACTGTCCAAAGCAGATAGAAAACCAAGAGCATCGAGATAGGCAAACGATGATTTGTAAAAGTGGATAATGTGATAAATTTATTGACTAACTTGCTTTATGCAGTCCTTTTTTTCTCATGCAGCAAAATGAGTCTAAGAACTTGACCTTGATGTCTCCATTTTTCACTTTGTAGGAGGGAGCAAAGGAGTTTGCGGCTGCCCTCACTGCCGAGCGCATCAAGACCCCGCCCAAGCGGCCCGGGGGCCGCAGGAGAGGCCGGCTCCCCAACAATAGCAGCCGGCCCAGCACCCCCACCATTAACGTGCTGGAGTCCAAGGACACGGACAGTGACAGGGAAGCGGGAACTGAGACGGGCGGGGAGAACAACGATAAGGAGGAGGAGGAGAAGAAGGACGAGACCTCCAGCTCCTCGGGTGAGACCCGCCGCGGGTGCCGGAGGGATTGGAACTCGGCTCCCTGGGTTAGTGCTCGCTGAGAGAGGGCCGAGGCCAGAGAACTCCCTCGGGGGTGTGGAGCTGCCTTCTGCCCTCACCCCGGCCCCGCGCTCCGACCCCAACCCCAGCCTGGCCTGGCCTGCGCTGACCACGTGCCCGGCTACTGGAAGGTCAGCGATGCGGTGTGTCGTCCTTCTCCGTCTCTCTGAGACAGGGCATCGTTCCGGTCAACCCTGTGGCTGTGCTGGGGGTGGTTTTGGTTAGAAGAGCCCGTGGGAACTCCCGACCAGTGTTTTGCTGCTGGGGTTTTCCATGTCCGTTCAGCCCACAACTCGCGTCCTGAGTAGCAACGGGAGATACTCCTCAGCTTTCATTTTGATTTAAAATTTCTGTATTAACTAAGCTTTACACCCAGCGTGAGGCTTGAAGTCACGACCCCGAGATCCAGGGTCACGTGCTGCCCTGACGAGCCCGCTGTGAGCCAGCCAGGCGCCCCCTCAGCATCTTAGAAGGTTGTGTCAAAGGGAACCAGCCCTGAGCTCCACGGGAGACTTGCGGATGGTCCCAGGCTGAGTTTATTCTCAGCACAAGTCGCTTCCTGCTCTTTTCTTCAGCACAGCCCCGAGGTTTACTTATTATTAACTCCACTCGTCCTTTCTTGACCAGTGCTTCACTTTGGTTTTCCAGAAGCAAATTCTCGGTGTCAAACGCCAATAAAGATGAAGCCAAACATTGAGCCTCCCGAGAACGTGGAGTGGAGCGGCGCCGAGGCCTCCATGTTCCGGGTGCTCATCGGTACCTACTATGACAATTTCTGTGCCATTGCCAGGCTCATCGGGACCAAGACTTGTCGGCAGGTGAGCACGTCTGACACAGCAGTTTGAGAGCTTGAGATGGGGGATGAGCAGTCACTGTCCAAACAGTCCGTTCTCGGTCCCTCTTGTGCTCCTGCTCATGTCCCGAAAAAGAAGTCGATTGGTGGTGTTTTCCCCTGGGAGGGACCTGAATGAAAACGATTCTAACGACTATGGATATGTCGGGGGGAGTCTGCAGCCCAGTAGGGTCAGGTCAGCCTCGGGCGCCTGCTGAGAGTGGCCCAGCCCCTGGTAGCACCCCCACCCCTGGCAGCACGGAGAGGCCAGAGAAGCTTCCAGCAGGGGCGGGTCTGGGGCGCTTTGCCGGAGCCGCCAGTGCTCACAGCCCTGTGACCACGCCTCTTGTCAGGTGTATGAGTTCCGCGTCAAAGAGTCGAGTATCATTGCTCCAGCCCCGGCCGAGGACGTGGACACCCCCCCAAGGAAGAAGAAGAGGAAGCACCGGTAAGGCTGGGTGGGCGGCTGCTGCTGTGGGTTGGATGCCAGAGTCATGTGGCCACACACGCTCTCCAGTCTGTTCCTCTGCCTGCAGTGGCCTGGGGTGCGGGGAGTCGGGACAGCGACGCTCACCGCGCTGCCCTTCAGTTGAGGGAACCTCTGCACTGGCTGCTGACCACAGGCCCCACTTGCACGAACCGAACCCGTGCCCTGCGTGCGGTGTTGCGGGTGATGGGAGCACCAAGCTGCTTGGAGTCCCAGGAGCCTGAATTTTCTTTGTGCGAGTCACTTCTTTTTTAAGATTTATTTATTCACGAGAGACACGGAGAGAGAGGCAGACACAGGCAGGGGGAGAATCAGGCTCCCTGCGGGGAGTCCGATGTGGGACTCGATCCCGGGACTCCAGGATCAGGCCCTGAGCCAAAGGGAGATGCTCAACCACTGGGCCACCCGGGCGTCTGTTCTCTGTTCTTGACAGATGCCCCGCTGACGCCCCTGGAAGCGGGCGCGCTGAGGGAGGAGGGAGCGCGGCCGCTTGGGTTTGTGTGAGGAGCTGCCCACCGCGCCGCCTGCCCCCCCCCCCCCCCCCCCCCGACTAGGGGTGCAGGACTGCACTCCGCAGCTGTGCACCCGCTCATGTCCCCTTTCTTTCGGGAGGTGGCTAATTTAGAACCGGAAGAACTTAGCTGTGGTCGGACCAGCTGAGTTTCTTGGTTGACGTTTGATCATGCAGCCCTGTCAGTGGTTAAAGATGCCTGAATTAGAGAGACGGTACTACCTCAGGCTCCTCCCGTCCCCAGGAGCCCGGGTCGGGGGAGTCCTCCTTGCGGTCACAGCTGAGCCTCCGACACGGGGCCGCTTAACTTGGGTTTTCTGGTACCGCCAATGTATTTTCTCAGGATTTTCTCAACAGTTTCTTCTCTCTGGCTTACTTTATTGTAAGAACACAGTATAGATACGTAGGACGTAGAAAATCCGTCCTAACCAGGCATCAGTAAGGCTTACGGGCCACGGGCTAGCAGGAGGTAAGTGTTGGGGAGTCAAAAGTTATTTGCAGATTTTGGGTGGCGGGAGGGGTCTGTGGCCCCAACCCGGCGGCGGGGGCCGGCTGCCCTTGGATCCAAAGTGCGGTTCTGTTCAGGGCACGTGTTGACTCGTGCAGGCAGCTTGTTGGGTTTGTGCCATGACCCGACTCCTGAGCCTCACAAGGATGGCTTCTGTTTTGTGTCTTGCAGGTTGTGGGCGGCACACTGCAGAAAGATACAGCTGAAAAAGGGTTAGCATCCTCCCGTTCATAATGGACTTAGAAATGCCTGCTCGTTTGTTTAAGAATAGTAACTGGATTAGCGTTTGGGACGTTCTGATGTAACTGGCTTCAGTTCCCGGAACCCACTTAAAGGGAGGCTGTCCGCCGAGTAACTTCCGGGTGGGTGGCGCGGGGTGGCCAGCCAGTTACGGAAGTGCTTGGGGGCCGGGGTGACAGTGCTCTGGCCTTGCCCGGCACTTGGCGGTGGGAGGAGGCGTCTCCAGTCACTCGGAACCCACACCGTGTGGAGGACGGAGGACGTGCCGCGGCCCGCAGGTGGCGGGGAAGGCCGGATTCGCAGGCGTCGTGTTCCCTCGCCTCTGGATTGACCCGCGCTGCTCTCCTTCCGCAGACGGCTCCTCTAACCACGTTTACAACTATCAACCCTGTGACCATCCACGGCAGCCTTGTGACAGTTCGTGCCCTTGTGTGATAGCACAAAATTTTTGTGAGAAGTTTTGTCAGTGTAGCTCAGAGTGTAAGTATTTCGTTTTGATGACTTGCGTGACTTGCCGCTTTAAATTGCTGACCAAAGCCCGTGGAAGCCAAAACAAGGCCATGGCAGCTCTTGCTTTGTTGTACCCTTTTTAGGAAGTGCACTTACCCCACAGGGATTTATGGGGCCCCATTAAGGGGTTGTGTGCTAGGGGCCGGCGCGGGTCTGTGGGCAGGTTAGAGCTGGATCGTGTAAGTTAAGTCATAGCAGAGTTGGCACAGAACGTGGAGGGCATCTGGAGGTGGCCCCCAGGTCCTCTGGCCCCCAGAAAGTGTCAGCGCAGCGGGGCGCGAGCGTAGTGCCATGAGCGGGTACTGAGGGCACAGCCGCGTGGAGACCGAGCAAGCGTCTAGAGCTCTGTGCCCTTGGGGTGGTCGAGAGCCGTGACTGTTACGTAGGCCAAACCAAACCCTGCCTTCACGCCTGTCGTATAAACCAGAGGGCTTTCGGGACACGTGCTGCCCAACAGATCCGGATGGAGAGCTCGGGGGTGACCGGGCACACCTCCTGTGCCTTCCGTTTCCTCCGTGGTCCGAGGCTGGGGGGGAGCAGAGGGGCTGGGGTGACCCAGTGTCGAGGCTCGCGTGACTCGGGGCTGCGCAGGGCTGTGCGCGGTGGGATCCACGAGGTTCCCGCCTGAGGACCACCCTGTCCCTGAAGGTCAAAACCGCTTTCCCGGGTGCCGCTGCAAAGCGCAGTGCAACACGAAGCAGTGCCCGTGCTACCTGGCCGTGCGCGAGTGCGACCCCGACCTGTGCCTCACGTGCGGCGCCGCCGACCACTGGGACAGCAAGAACGTGTCCTGCAAGAACTGCAGCATCCAGCGCGGCTCCAAGAAGGTACGCACCGCCCCACTGGCTGGGGGCGGGGCAGGGGGCATGCCCTTAGGCATCCGCCCCTTCCGTCTTACCACCACACAATATTCAAGGTGCCTCTTTCATGCAGAGAGAAAGATGAGCATCTCCCACGGGACCCTCTAGTTCCTGCGAACTTCATTCCCGTTTTTTAATGATCTTGAACACAGGGCAGCGGGGGTTCTGGAACCGGCGCCTGCGAGCTGCAGGCAGGTGCTCGTCACTGTAGCTCCTGGGAAGTTTCTTACTGAGCAGAAGAGACTGCCGGCAGCTGCTGGGGAAGTCCCCTACCTTATTTTAGGGTGGACCCAGGGCTGCTGCTTCGGTTGATAAATGTCAGCAGTCAGAGCCACGATCAGGGAACATGTGGCAGGCCCCGTCCTAAGTGCGCGCGTGTCAGCTTACTAGTCCTCGTACCTCTGGGAATTAGGAATAACCACAAACCTCCTTTTAGGTAAAGAAAGGAGCAGTAGCTCCGATCCAGGTGTTGTGGCCCCGGACCCCCTGCTGCTGACGGCCACGACCTGGGCCGCCCATGAGTGTGGGGGTGTGCGTGGGGGACACCGGACACATGGGTGATGTGCGCATCTTAGGTTCTTGAGGCGCCCTAGGATGTGACTGGGGTCACACTGCGGCCCATAGTGCCCTTCCACCAGCAGTTCTGTTCGTGGCAGTATCTTTGTTTTTGCTGTGATGGTCTCGGGCTCGGTGGTTTTAAGAGTACAGGTCTTTTTTTTTTTTTTTTTTTTTTAAAGATTTTGTTTATTTATGAGACACAGAGAGGCAGAGATACAGGCAGAGGGAGAAGCAGGCTCCCCATGGGACTGGATCCCAGGACCCTGGGATCAGACCTGAGCCGAAGGCAGATGCTCAACCACAGAGCCCCCCGGGCGTCCCTAGGTTGTTAGTCATCCCGTCACAGTGATGCGAGGTACAGTCCCCAGGGCACACCTGCTCAGTCCTAAGACTCTCATTCCTCCCCCACCCCCACACTTGTCAGGTCCTCTCAGTTTGTTCAGAAACTGTTCGCGTTGACGTGCCTTCTATAGGCGCCTGGTAGAACTCCTGAGACAGAAAATAGCGTACTTGAACCACTTGGGTCTCATTTGCTCAACAGTATGACCAGAGATCGCTTTATTTACAAAAGAAACCACTGTTGTCCCATACCTGGGACGCTGGGCCCTGGTGCAGCGCGCTCGGAGCTCTCCTGCTGGCGGCAGCGGGTTGTGTGACTTTGGGACCGGGCTGAGGACGGCCCTGGGCCGTCACGTAGCTGACTGACTCTCCCGTCTTTGCTCTCCTTCGATGATGCGATTGTGTGCGTTTCCTTCTCTAGCACTTGCTGCTGGCGCCGTCTGACGTGGCAGGCTGGGGGATTTTCATCAAAGACCCTGTGCAGAAAAATGAATTCATCTCGGAGTACTGTGGAGAGGTAAGGCAGGGGGACCCAGCCCCGGGCGGCGCCGCGCATGCGAACCACATGGGTTCGGGGGTGTCGTGTGTAGTAACTCCCTTTGTTTTGGATTGATTTCATTGGACTGGTCTACTGGGTCTGATGAGAAGTGAATTGATTTAAAAAATGCCTTTTCAGCTTGGACTTAACTCCTGCTGGTAGGTGCGGCTCGCTTGGTAAATGGGCGCTTCGGTCGTGGCCACGAGAGCTGTGCTGTGAGTGTGCCCTGCTCAGTCCACAGCCTGATGGATAAGGATCTAGAGACGACGGTGTCCTTCATCCTGTGGCTTTCAGTCGTAGAGTTAGGGACCGGCCATCGGGCTGGCTTCATTTTGGAATTAAGCCACCCAGTTTGTCTTTTCTCTTCAGTGGAGACTTGTTAATAATCACTTTCTGCCAGCACGATTCCTTTCTCTGTGAGAATGAAGTCCTTGAAAGACCCTGGTCCTGTGACACCAGCATGTGGGCCGAATGGGGGAGCAAGGCCAGCCGTAGGGACCATTCGTTGGGGTTCCTCATGGGGGCCCGAGGTTGTCCTGATCAGCTGATCCAGGTCTTGTCCTCGGCCTGTCTTTTTAGATTATTTCTCAAGATGAAGCAGACAGAAGAGGGAAGGTCTACGATAAATACATGTGCAGCTTTCTCTTCAACTTGAACAATGGTACGTTTGACTTGGGGGCCCCCGGGACGCATCGAGGAGCCCCTTCTCCGTATGAGCTCCTGGGGTCCCTGACTCCCTGGCACAGGTGTGGAACTGGGCAGTTTGTTGGCAAGCCAGCCGGGCTGGGGCAGATGGTTCCGAGCCATCTGCTGCTGGGGCCACTCCGGACGGCTGCCCTGAGCTTGCGGCTGTGCTGCTGCTGCCTCCCTGCTGTGTCCCCATGGCCACCTGGGCCCCTGCCTCCTTAGTGCTCCGTCTGACCTGGGGAGGGAGGGGCTCGAGCCCCCAGACGTGCAGCTTCTCTGGGGCTCCCCTGCCTGTTGTCAGAGGCCCGGGGGGGAATAGGAAGCTGGTTTCTAGATGATGATCTCAGGTTGGTGAGGCCGCAGTAGGTGTTGCTGCTGGGGGTGGGGATTCACTCCCAACATCAGGTTAACTTGGGGCATGAGGTCTCCATGAACATGTTCCACAGAGAGTGCAATGAAAAAGGTATTTTAAATGTGAGATGCTTATTCTTGAAGTCAAGAATGCACACCCTGTGCTTTATAAAGGCAAGCCCTGAAGAAACTAGGGCTGGGGTGTCTCCAGAATTGTCAGAACTTTGTGTTTACAGACCTGGGACTGAACCTATTCACTGGACTGTACTTACTTTTTCTTCTTTTTAGATTTTGTGGTGGATGCAACCCGCAAGGGTAACAAAATTCGTTTTGCAAATCACTCAGTAAATCCAAACTGCTATGCAAAAGGTAGGTGCCGATGGAGTCCGAGTCCCCAACAGAACCGCTTGCAGACCAGGGAGGGGGGACTGGAGCAGCCTGGGACTGACGTGGACTTTGTGCGTGAGTCAGGCCTTCCCCGTGGCCTGTCTTCATCCAACTCACGGATACTGTGTCTCTCTCTCCAGTTATGATGGTTAACGGCGATCACAGGATAGGGATTTTTGCTAAGAGAGCCATCCAGACCGGCGAAGAGCTGTTTTTTGATTACAGGTTGGTAACAGCATACCTCTGTGTGACCTGAGGGCTTCATCTTCCTGGACTCTGGGCTGTGGACAAAGGCTGTCTTCTTACTCTTTGTCAGATCTCTTTTTAGAGGAATTTATTTTTGGTTGTCGGGGCGTGGCTGGTTAGTTAGGCTACACAAGTAATGGGTATATTTGAGATACAGGCGAACCTCAGATATTGTGGGTTCGGGTCCCGGCCACTGCGGTAAAGGAATTGTAATCTTTCTGCTGGCGGATGGACTTGGTGCTGCCGTGCAGTTTGCCGCATTAGTGGCTCTTCCAGCACGAGCGGTTCCCTGCAGCCGGCGATGCAGCTCGGTGCACGGTACCCCCCGGAGAGCCGCCTTCAGAACAGTGTGTCCTCGGGCCCGGCCCGGTCCACCAGCTAGGCCGCTGTCGTGTTCCCAGTCCTCGGTTGTAGTTTCAACCGTCTTGACAGCGTGTCCACCAGGAGGAGGCCAACTTGGGAAACCACTTTCTTGGCTGGTCCCTGAGAAGCACCTGCTCGTCTGTTCACGTTTGGTGCTGAGCTCGCTCGCGGCCGTTCAGTCCCTCTCTGGGCTCCACTCCTCGTCCTGTTGTCTCGCTGTTTCTTCGTTGCTCCATTTGGAGAACACAGGCACAGTAGACTTCGCGTCATCCCTAAGGACGCTGAGATTTTCGGGATGGTCACCGAGTACCAGCTTCAGCCTCGTCACCAGCTGCACTAGCCCCTCACGAGAGGGTCAGCCGGGCACTGACCTTTCCTCTCCGGCTGAAAGTCCTAGCTGACAGCTTCTTTGGTAGAAGCTGTTTCGTCTACACTGAAAATGTGTTGTTCGGTGCAGCACCCTCTTCGGTTATCTTAGCTAGGTCTTCTGGAAACCTGCCGCTTCATGGCGTGGAGGTGGCTGCTTCCCTTAAACCTCCCGAACCAGCCTCCCAGCCTCAGACTTTCCTTCCGCAGCCTCCTCCCCTCTCAGCCGTCCTAGAACTGAAGGGAGTCGGCCTTGCTCTGGATTAGGCTTTGGCCTAAGGGAACTGTGCCTGCTGTGCTCTCCTGTGGGAACCACTGCCGCTTTCCCTTTAAATCAGAAACTAGAAATGATGAAGCTCTGGGCCTTGCTGCTGGTGTGCAGAGACACGGGGGCCTGGGTGGCCACGGGTGCCTATTCAGTATTGCCTATTAAGGTTAAACGTCAGACCGTTCATTTCGGCTCAGGTCGTGACCTCAGGGTCGTGAGATGGAGCCCCGCATCAGGCTCTGCACACAGTGGGATCCTGCTTGAGATGAGAGTCTCTCTCCCTCTGCCCCTCCCCTCCTCACTCTCTCAAATAAGTCGGTCACAGGTCTGTTTTTCACTTGAACACATAGAGGCCCCTGTACGGTTATTAACCGGCCTGCCTTCAATATTGTTGTCTCAGGGACGAGAGGGGGACAGATGGGGGAACAGCCGGTCGGTGCAGCAGTCAGGGCACATGACCTCTGTCCATCCGATCTGTCATCTCAGGAGGGTGCAGTTCGTGGCGCCCCAAAACAATTACAGTAGTAACAGCCAAGACCGCCCAATGATAAAGTCTGAAATTCTCTAAGAATGAAGGACCACAGTGGACAGGCATGAAGTGAGCAAACGCCGTTGGAAATGGCACTGGCGGGTGTGCTCGATGCAGGGTTGCCACAAACCTTCAGTGCTTAAAAAGTATTTGCAAAACGCAATAAACTGCGGCGTGCCTGTACGCCACAGGGACGACGTGGAGGGCCCCATTCTTCACCCCTCTGGGAGGAGCTGGGGGCCGCCTGCAGGTGCATTTTCAAGTCCGTGTGGCCGCGCTGTATTCACACAGGGTGTGCGGCGTGCTTTTACTAGAGGTTGTGTCTGACGCTGGTGTGTTTAGAGACTCCTTACTATTAGCCAGAGCACTTAGTACATTGTTCGTATTTAGTATTAACGGTTAAGGCACAGTCGGCGCATTATCCTTCCTGGTCACCGCCTGGGTCCTTGTGGGGGAAGTCGCGCCAGCTGTCTGGGTGGCAGTGTAGTCCAGCTCTTTGAGGTCGACAGCATAGATTTAAATTGCAACAGAGGACTTTTTAGCTGTGTAAAATCCCATGTCCGAGTATTTGTCCCATTTAGAAGCTTCGCTTTTGAGCAGGGTTGTCTGGAACAAGCCACGTGTTGTAGCCCTATTCTTGGGGATGTGCTGCAGGGGCGAGGGCGAGCTGGATACCATACCTGACGGGAGCCCAGGACACCCCCCCAGCCCCCCCCCCCCCCCCCCACTTCATGTGTGCGCAGCAGCCGAGGCTCCCTTGGGGGCACCTTGGGCCTCCTGTTTGCCAGGTTCCGGTTCTTCACTTGGAGGCTGGGGCTGCTTTCCTGGCCCGACCGTACTGTCTCCTGCCCTCCCACCATCATGCACGCCCGCCCCCCTCCCGAGCCGTCTCGGGCAGGCCGGGGAGAAAGCGCGGGAGGGGCTGTGCTGACAGGTGTGGGCACGTCTCCCCTGCGGTAGAAGTAGTGCCACCGCCGTAGGCAGCGCCCACGGCCGGGCCTGTCCGCACGAGGGCCTTCGTAGACGTTTTAACGCACACGCTGAGTGGAGCGGCTTGGTTGTGTGGGTCTCCCCCTGTGCTGGATGCTCGCTCATTCCTTTTTCCTGCTGTTTCAGATACAGCCAGGCTGATGCCCTGAAGTACGTGGGCATCGAAAGAGAGATGGAAATCCCTTGACGTCTGCTACCTCCTCCTCCCCCTCCTCCTTTCTGGAACAGCTGCCTTAGCTTCAGGAACCTCGAGTACTGTGGGCAATTTAGAAAAATAAAATGCAGTTTGAAATTCTGAATTTGCAAAGTACTGTAAGAATAATTTATAGTAATGAGTTTAAAAATCCACTTTTTATTGCCTTCTCACCAGCTGCAAAGTGTTTTGTACCAGTGAATTTTTGCAATAATGCAGTATGGTACATTTTTCAACTTTGAATAAAGAATACTTGAACTTCCCCCTGTTGTTGGGTCATCAATGGTACAGATCTGTCCGCGGATTGATTTTAGAAAAGGGATGCGTCTCTAACGGGAGAACACGCTCACGTTCAGCTCCCGGGATGCTTGGTCATTCTGTGAAGCTTAAATAGAATATATAATTACATGATCTGTGCATGCTGCGTAACACATGCATATTTATAATTGACAATTTGTCTGATCGTAACTTCAGTATTGCCTATTAAGTGAAAGATTCCCGCAAGCGACCGAGGCTGGCATCCGGAGGCCGCGGCGGGCGGGTCCCCTGGCACCGGAGCCTCTGAGCTGCCTTCTCTGTGTATAAAGTAGCGGCAGGCCCAGCTGGCTACGGCGCGGAAGCCCAGGGGAGGTTAGACACGCGGTCAGAAGCTCCTCACTACCAAGGTGCTGGGTGGGACCAAACTAGTTTTCTTTTTTGAAGTAAAGATTAAGCAGGGTTGGGAGGGGGAGCGTGAAGGCCATGGGGTGCTGGCTCCTAGACTGACCGCTGTCATCGGTCTGTGGGCTACAGTTGCCTTTTCTGGAGTACCGGCTCCAGGTGTGATTTACATGATGTGAGAATATTTAATGTGAAACTAATTAAAAACCTACTTTTCTGGGGCACCTGGGTGGCTCATTCCACTAAGCATCTGCCTTTGGCCCAGATCATGGTCTCAGGGTCCTGGGATTGAGCCCTGTGTCCGGTGCCCCCCAGGGAGCCTGCTTCTCCCTCTCCCGGCCCTGCCCCTCCCCCTGCTTGTGCTGTCAAGTAAATAAAATCTTTAAAAGCAAACCCACCCACCTTTCTTTCCAGTTATGCAAACACTGATAAGCCTCTCTGGTCCGGGGTGCATCAGCCGTAGCGACGCCAGTCGGAAAAGTTATTTGCCACTTTGCTTTTTTTGCAACGAACAGCCCTGGCGTCAGCTGCCAATCTCGTTTGTGCTGCTTGTGTTCTGGGCCACGTCTGGTTTGGAAGGACTCAGTGGTGTTTGTCCGGGAGACGGCGCCATAAGCTCAGTTGGCTGCTGCTGCTTCCCGAAGGGCAGCCACGGTGCTCGCCCTCGGAGGTGCATCCCCCACTTGGCACTCAGGTGAGCGGAGCCCATTCCTTCATGATCGCCCAGTCGATGAGCGATGTCGGGACAAGGAGCTGCTTCCAGCCACAGTGTTTGTCCTGGTGGGAGCGTGAACGGCTGGGTGGGGGCGTGATCCTCGAGCCCAGGGGAGGTCTGCTCAGGACCCCCACAGACCCAGATGCATCAGCCACACCGAAGTCTTAGCAGAGAGCAGGGATTCTGAGCAGCGCACACAAGCTTTTTGTACTTGGATCTGAAACGCGCCTCGCGGGTCCTGTTGGCCGACGTCGTGAGCACAGGTTCTCTGAGCAGAAATACTGGACGGGCGCCCGGTCACGTGACAAAGGGCATCTTTAATCCGATCTGGTCGGGTTCAGGCTTTATAATGGGGCAAGGGTGGGGCACAGAGCTTGACCTATGAGGTGTTCAAACACCCAATTAAAGCCAAGATGTGGGGGAAAAACTAAGTTCAAAAAGTGGGTGCTCTCCCCACCCCCAGAGCTCCCCACTGGGAGGTGAAAGTGTGTGAGCCTCGTGCTTCCTTCCCCACCAGGGGAAACCCAGGAGGAGGACGGATGTGGGGAGCCGAGGGCTGCATCAGGATGCACAGATGTTCCGGGCACCGTTTCCCAGTTCGGGGCTCCCTCTAAGCCTTGCCTCCCCTGGTCCTGAGGAACCGCGGGCAGAGGACATCCGGGCCCAGACCAACGACGCGCAGGCCCCCGTGAGAACATTCTGCTTGTCAGTTACTCCCAGTCGGTACTTAGTAGTCTCTGAGGAAAATGCAAACTACAATCCATCTAGAAGCTGCTTAACTGTTTTTCAATATTGTCCTGGTTTATCCAACCTCCAGCCTTCACCGTGTCCGTCGAGCGAGGCAAAGTCCTGGCTTCAGGTCCACCCGGGTGCTCGGCAGCTGCCCTCCGCCCCGCCAGCGCCACTCCCGTGAGGGAACATCGTGTCATTTCAGCTTGCACCTGTCATGAAGACAAGTTCCTAGTGTGAACGGTTTTTCTTTTCTTAAAGATTTTATTTATTCAGGGGAGAGAGAGAGGCAGGCTCCATGCACCGGGAGCCCGACGTGGGGCTCGATCCCGGGTCTCCAGGATCAGGCCCCGGGCTGAAGGCGGCGCTAAACCGCTGCGCCCCCCGGGCTGCCCATTTTCACAGAACTAAAGCATTCCGCTGGAAATTTTAGGAGCTTTGGGCTTTTACTGGAAAGAGCTGAAGATGCTTGCAGCTCAGCCCTCTGTTGAACAGCTTCCGGCGGGGGGGCTGTGGGTTCCTGGTTAGAAGCAGCCCACGGTGAGGTGAGCGGAGCCTCGGCGCCAACCGCACCTCCGACAAGGCCGTTTACAAAAAAGTCCGCGTTCACCTGTGAGGAGGACGGGGCCGTTTGGTCCGCCGCTGGACAGGTGCGTGGGCTGGCGAGCCGAGGCTCCGGTGGTCAGATCCAGCCGCCCGGACAGCCAGGGGATGGGGATTGCTACAGTGAGCTTCATCCAAGGGGGATTCAATGCAGAGACGGGTCAGCCTGTTTGACTTTTCACCCGGGTGTGGTGAAATCTGAATTTCTTGCAAAGGAAAATTAGGGACCAGCGTGCAGGGGGACGGGCCATCTTAAAAAGCCCTGGCGATGGAACATTTGAAACTGCATCCCGGGGGCTCCGCGGTTTAGCGCTGCCTTCAGCCCAGGGCGTGACCCTGGAGCCCCAGGATGGAGTCCTGCGTCGGGCTCGCTGCAGGGAGCCTGCTCTTCCCTCTGCCTGTGTCTCTGCCTCTGTCTCAAATAAATTAAAAAAAAAAAAAATAAAACTGCATTCCCCCTCCCCACCCCCGCGTTCTCGAATGTTCTCCCCAAGGCACTGAGGGCTCCAGAGCACAGGATAGGCTGGTCGCTCACAGGCTGCTGACTGCGGCCTCACCTTCCGGCTCCTACCCACTCCCTTGGACCACGAGCCCCACAGCCTGGATGCCGGTGGTGTTCCTCGGGCACGAGCCCCGCGAGGTCTCCCCGGAGGTGGCAGCTTGAAGGCGACAGCTGCAGTTCTCTGTTCCTGGGAGGGGTGGGAGCTGGTGGGGGTGGAGGCAGCCCCGAGCACTCCCCTTCCCCAGGACCCCCCTCACCTTGGCTCCGCGGCGTCCGCAGCCAGTCTGGCCTGAGGAGGGGAGGGCTGCGGTGGGGACCCCGGGCACCCCTCGACCTGGGGTCCTCGCCGGTCTCCCCGGTGCGTGCTGAGAATCTTGCAGCAACTGGAAAAGAGGTGCTGGACACGGGAAGCTGGGAGCGGACCTTCAGCCTCCAGGTGTCGCGGGTCCTAATAGGTGCTGAACGGGGCTGGGCCGGGCACCGGGAGGTTCATCGCTGGGGGGGGGGGGCGCGCAGGGCAGGGGGCGCCGGTCACCCAGGGGCCCCAACAGGCTCCGCTCCGCCCCGCCTCGCGGCCCCCGCAGGCCGCTGCGGTCCCCACGAAGCCTCCCCTGCTGTGTGAGCCTCCAACCTGGGGGCCCGGCAGGGCCAGCGCCCGCCCTCCTCGGGGCCGACCCCGCGGGCCCCCACGCGTCCTGCAGGCCCCACGGGCAGGAGGCCGCGGCGACCCCGGCGAGTGTGGACAGGAGCCTACCGGTTGCAGCCTTTCCGACCACAGCAAGACACCGGATTGTAAATCTGCACCATCATTGTATCTTTTATTTACATGTAGAAATTAGTAAAACTTAAAACAAAACCAAATGCGACTTGTACAGAAATCCTTTAATTTTCTTTATTTTCACACATTAAAAAATGAAACACACTATACAAATGGTCTTTCATAGCAGATTACACGTGGGCCCATTAGACTTGCTCTCCAAGTGCTGCCAGGACGACAGCTGTTAACCCCGTAGCCAACGTAGCGGTTTAGATGCAGTAGCATGCAGCCCTCAGCAGGGGAGGTTCGAGTCCCCTCTGTTCTTAAATTAGGTTAAATGGCGTTGGTGTCCATATTTACAGACTTGAAATGTATCAATCCTGAGCAGTTCTGATGTCCGGCTGAGGCCAGCGGGGGGCGGTTGGCCTCAGGTCTAAAAAGGGAGGTTCAAATGGTGGCAGGCTGGCTGCTTGCTATGAACTCGGGTTGTTCTCTCCACCGGGAACTCTTCGCTGCAGGTCGCAGGCAGACCCTTCTGGAAGGGTTAAGCCAAGTAACTGTAGGTGTCCTTTTCACCATCGACTCGCTCCAAGTATTCTTTCTCGATCAGAATGTCAATGCATTTCTGGGCATTATTTTAAGAAAAACAGAGGTAATGGAAGGAAGAAAAACACACTTATTAGCAGAATGGAGCCCGGCCGCCTCACCTGGGCTGTGCCCCTGCCCCTGGAGGCTCACTTGGGGACCCACCCCACCCCACGCGCCCTGCAGAGCGACTTTACTTCCCAGGCAGCCCCGACCTCACTTTCTTGAGCCAGGAAACTACCCAGCTCCTCAATGTCCTCGCAGGGAGGTCGCCCGGGGCCCTTTGGGAACAGCCCAGGCACGGTGTCCCAGCACCCCAAGACCCGGAGGGGGCCTCCCCCTGCCTGTCGGGAAGTCACCTCTCACTGCCACCCTCGGGGGCTCCGCTCCGTCCCAGCTGCTCTTTACCGAGTGGTCTCAGAGAGAGAAAGCCACTGAGCTTCCATGTTCAAGAACCCACTAGAAAGGAGGCAAGGCGATGGCCCGGAGCTGTGGGCGCCCCCCAGGGAGGACCACAGAGCAGGGACAAGCGGGCGACGGACAGCCTAAATACAGAGGAGACGGTCCCCCGAACGTGACGCGGGGCCCGTCTTCGGACACAGCAGAGTGGGAGCCCTAGAAGCCCTGTCCGCACACCGAGCACCCCATAGACAGCACCGCCGCAGGCGGGACGCTCGGCGGGTTGTGATCCTCCAGGGAGCAGAGGTGCTG